AAGCGGCCGTGGAACGAGGGATATCATTGCTGATGTCCGATGGATCTTGGCTGAAAGCAGAGACTATCAGAAAGATGTTTACCTGTGCTTTATTCAGTACGCAAAGGTTTTTGATTGTGTGAATCATGACAAGCTCTGGATAACATTGTGAAGTATGAGTATTACGGAACACTTCATTGTGCTCATGAGAAATCTGTACATGGACCAAGTGGCAGTTGTTTGAACAGAACATGGGAATACTGAATGGTTTAAAATTAAGAAAGGTGTGCGACATTGTTTTATTTTTTCGCCATACTTATTCAACCTGAATGCTGAGTAAATAATACCAGAAGCTGGGTTCTATGAAGAAAAACGTGGCATCAGGATTGGAGGAAGAGTCATTAACAACCTGCGATATGAAGATGATACAACTTTCCTTGCTGAAAGTGAAGAGGACTTGAAACATTTACTGATGAAGATCATCAAAGAGCACAGCCTTCAATATGGATTACATCCCAATGTCAAGAAAACAAAATTCCTCACCACTGGACCAATAAACAACATCCTTATCAACAAAGATTGAAGTTGTCAAGGACTTCATTCTTCTTGGATCAACTATCAACACTCAATGGAAGCAGCGGTCAAGAAATCAAACGATGTATTGCATTAGGCAAATCTGCTGCACAAGACCATTTAAAGTGTTGAAGAGCAAAGATGTCAGCTTGAGGACTAAGCCCTGGTATTTTCAATAATCTCATATGTATGCGAAGAAATAAGGAACCCCGTAGAAGAATTGATGCATATGAGTTGTGGTGTTGGAGGAGAATATTGAAAGTGCCATGGACTACCAGAAGAACCAATAGATCCGTTTTGGAAGAAGTGCAGCCAGAGTAGAGTGCTCCTTGGAGGCCAAGATGGTCAAACTTCATCTTTCATACTTCAGACATATTGTCAGGCAGGACCAGTCGCTGGAGAAAGGTGGAGGGTCAGAGAAAAAGAGGAAGATCCCCAGCAACATGGATTGGCCAAGTGGCAGCATTGATGGACTCAAGCGTGGCTACAGTAGTGAGGTTGACCCAGTATTGGGCAGTGTTTCGTTCTGCTGTGTATACGGTTGCTATGAGTTGGTACCGACTCGATGGTACCTAACAACAACACTAATCGGAGAAGCACTTGGGTCTATGACCCACTGGAATTCAAATGCCATGATTCTTTTTGATAGCTGACCAACTACAGGCATAAAGAATAAGTTTCACATTTGTAATTCCTCACAGATAATGTCTCTATAGAGTAAAAGACAACAAAAACATGAACAAAACCCTGCCCATCTAGCTAATCATGTTGTATAACTTTGCTCATATGAGGCTGCTCCGAAGAGTCAGCAGAACTCCATAATCTTTTCATTTCATGTTTCCACAAAAGGACAGAAGACCCCTCATTCTTAAACATTCCAAACAGTTCCAGCTGACTACAGAAAGCTTTGTCTCCTGGGTCAGGAGTGGCTAGGTTCCGCAGGGTAGTTGGGCCTCAGGCATGCTGCCCCATTGGTGGTGTCTCCAGTGAAGGTCTACCATCCTGTTACCTTGTGAGCGCCAATGATGTCAGGGAAGCAGCCTAAAAAGCCTTTGTATTCATGATTGCATTCCATCAGGTAGTGGAGATCTTTCTTTGGCTGTAAAGAGACAGATACACATTGGCTGCTATTAGCAGAGGAATTCAAAAACAGAAGGGAAAGAAAAACCACTATTCTTTCTTGAGTTTTTAGATACGGAACTCCTTCAGAAAGGACACTCAATTATTGAGTGTTCAACATTCAGTCTAGTTTCCCTAAAAGAATCCCAAGACTGCTATGCACCTAGTCCACTTATCAACTAGCTCCTATTCCACCATTTCGCATTTACAACAACAGCAAAAAAATCTCGTACCCGACTACACTGCGCATTAACAAGGTACATCTGGCCTTAATGAATGCCGAGGAGGGAGACGAGAGTAACACTGGCTGTGATGATAGAGGTTATGCGTCAACATGGCTGCTCCGAGAGTCTCAGAGATTTGGCAGTTACGTAGTGATGCAATTTGCCAGTTATATAATGATGTGATTGCATAATGCTGACTTTCACATTAACAACCAGGTGTCTGATTGAGGAGTGGGTGTATTCTGAATCACGTGTTGCAAAGAAACTGATAAAATACCAGATAATTTTTTAGGTTGATGTTAAAGATTTTGAGGTAGTCCAAAATATGAGTAATAATTGTGTGTGTGTGTGTGTGTGTTTGTGGGGAAATAATGCTGTTATGCTTACAAATAAAATTTGTTATTATAGTTTAATGTCTAGCATTAGCAGAGAATAGAAAAATACAAAATACAGAATTTATAAATGGCTACTTTAGTAGTTTCCAACTTCTGTGAATATAATTTTTAACAGGCATGTTAAAACAACACCCCCACCCCACGCCCACTGCCATCAGGTGAACTGTGAATCACAGTGACCGCTGTCTTGGGCTTCCAAGGTTGCAAACCCTTATAGGGGCAGACAGCTTGTCTTTCTCCTGTGGGACAGCTGGTGGGCTTGAACTGCTGAACTTGTAGTTAGCAGTCCTATGTCTAGCCACTAGGGCTCCTCAACAGCGATGTTACAGTTTAAAAATGAATATATCTTGAGCAAATATCAGGAGAGGAGCTAACGACCATTATCTGTAGGTGTTTCCAAGACTCTTTCCCAATGTCTGCTTCTCTGGCTTAATTTTTTTTTTATCTCTGACATCTCCAGAGAGACTGAGGCAAGACACACCCTACACTAATCATGACTCATTAACATAATAAGCCCAGCCCACCCCCATACGGGATTATAACCAAAGGCATGTTCTTATGAAGTGCTGCCAAGCCTGTCCCACTCATAGACAGCAGAAGGCCTCATCTTAGTTCCGGAGAGCGGCTGGTGGGCTAGAACCCCCAATCTGTGGCTCCAAGTCCAGTGTGTATCCTCTTGAGCTCTCCCTACCAAAGGCATGGAAGTTATGATTCACAACGGACATTTTTGGGGGGCACACTTTGATCTAGAACAACATACATAAACATGTGCTTCCTGAAGTTACATGAAGAAATATTTTTAGGATTTGAAACAACTGAGATGATTATTCCCTCTAAAGGAAAGTAACTATGTTTGTTGTTTTGTTAAAAAAAAGAAAAAGAAAAGAAGACTAGAAATTGGACTATTCAAGACTCCATAAGAACCATCCGATGTAAGAAAAGACCCACTCCGTGCCCGTGACTGTACCCCGTGACTGCACCCCCACGGCTGTACCAAGCTCTGGGTACTCACTAGCAACTGGATCCTGAGAACCACACAAGGTAGACATTACCACGGCCAGTGGTGGTGGCTGTGTGCCGTGAACTGACTCATAGTGACCCTGT